CATACATCCTCAGATCCCAGTCTCCAGCCATGCAGCTCCAGTCTTGCTTCAACTTTCAGTTTCAGCCTCTTCCCAGTCAGCAGTCATTTTTCTACCCTCATTTTTCTTGACTAAGTCCATGTCCACTGTTCCCATCTCAGGCCCAGTTTTTGTTGTCTTTGCATTCACATTATGCAGTTTACTTTCTATGCCCAGCAGAAGTGGAACAACAGGAGAGAAAGTATTTCTGTTCCCAAAAGATCTATAAATCTTCATCAAGTCATAGGAAGACCATGCCAGGATGCATAAAGATTATAGTACAAATAAGTGGAACTTAAATATGCCTTCATTGGAATCAGTTCAGTATTCAGAGTGATTTGTCCTCTTAATGAACCTCTTTCTTAAATCATAGTGCTCCTAATTTTCTTTCTTTCCTTCTCACCAAAATCTTAAGCAGTCTACTTTCAAAAGCTTTACTTTTGTCAAATACACAACAGCCCTTTAACTTCTATGTTACAAAGTAAATGCCACCCCACAGAGGTACAATAAATCCTGTCCTGGAAAAAAAAACACTTAAATTTCCAACAAGAATACCATTAAAGGTAGAAACAAACATCACCTTACATTGAATAAAAATGTTTATGGCAGCACCGCAGGTAAAAAAAATTGTCATCCCTACTTTTTGTCATACCACATCAAAGGCAAATCGGTGATGGAACAATGGAAATAATAAATTCTACTGCTTTATTGCAGCAGATGTATTAGTTGTGTGGCAGGGTAAGTGGGGAAAACCCAACTTTCCCTGCTTGAATAGATCCACCCTAGGGATCTCTGGGGCTGCACCTGGGTAAGCAGGGAAAGTTGGGTAGGCACCGTCTGGGTTTAAGGGGCCCAATCCTGTCCAAAAATTCCTGGGTTCACAGGACTGGGCCTTCAAGCCTCAGATGACCACATCAGCCCTTGTGCCACATCATCAATGGGCAACATGTGTTTGGCAACAAGGGGCAACATGTGTTTTGCTGAATGTTTTGTATATGACTATTTACAGCCCCAATGCTACTAGAATGAACATTCAGATGTTTTTATAAGGTTGAGCATAGGGAATTTTTAGAGATGGAACTAACAGAGTTGTGTGTTGAGGGTACCATGTTGAATGGAGGAAGCCCAAGGAGTACAATTGAAGGCAGTGGTTCAATGTGTTTTGAAGCATACACCAGCTTGTACCTGGGTCTCCCTTATCCCAAGTCAGGGCTGTATCTCTTTCTGTTCTTTGTGATTTTTTTAAATCTTTGTTTTCCTTTTTTCTGTGGAAAAAAAAATGTTGAAGGATATGGCAGTCTTCCCAATACAAAATGGAAAAACTTTTGTGGGAAAGAAAATACAGCATTCAACCCTTTCTAAATGTATTTATGGTATTACATTGATTTTTTTCATGTACAGAATCTCTAGCCAGCAGCTTGAAATATCGGTAGACTAGATTCTTCACAAAGCATAATGGCCTGTTATTGCACAGGGAAGTAAAAATAAACACTGACCAAAAGCCAAACTATTTTTACAGAACAAGATACTTCCCCCTTGTCAGTGGCTCTTCTGTTACAACAAACTCAGGTGGCTATGAATGGCACCTCCCCTAGTTTTATTAGCAAATATCTGTGTTCTAACCAATTTAATGAAATATTTTCTGGTCTTCAGTTAGTAAACACTACCTTATATATAATAATAACAAGTAATGGTAGCTTTTCTATTAATCTCTGTGTTTTTAACAACATTTTGTATTTCTAAAAAATCTCATATGCCATGTAGGGATTGCTTTTTAAATTGTACATTCTATTTTTTGCCAACAGATCAACCAGAAAACACCTATAGAATTATACCCTTTTACTTTAAGTGGAGTATCTTGCAGTCCCTTTTTTTATTATTATTTTCAGTGAAAATATGTCTTATGCAAAAACACCCTTCTTGGCTTGCTGACCAGTAATTCCAGCTCTACTAAGTCTTCTGTATTGCCTCCCTTTGATTTAATTTAGAGTTATACACTTAAGGGAAACTGTAATAAATGTCAAAACATATCATTATTAGAGCTGGCTGGGAATTTTCTGATGAAGCAATTCCCAGAAAATGCTGATTCCTGCCCATCTCTAATAATTCCTCCTACAATAATTGTGTTTGATATATGAACTGTAGATGTCTGTCAGAATATGAACTTTTTATTTTCTCTTTTTCTCTCTATCTGTTCCAACATTATAAAAAAAAATAAAAAAATTCTCTACTATTGGCAAAAGGATGCTATGTGTAACTCTAGTAGTTATTTTTAAATAATTTCACCATACATATATGTCACTAATTATGATAGATAAAGGGGAAATCAAATCAAGGTTCAGTGAGAATCTCTATTTACCACTCAAGGGCTATAAACAACCCACAGAAAACTCTTCTGGCTTAGGTGTGATGCAACTAAACCTATGACCTGGAAACCTGTCTTATAGTAGTTGGGCATGTCAGAGGAATTAAATGGACAGAGTTCAGTGAAGCCCATGAAAAAGCTAATTTCCTCAACAAATACTTTGTATCGGTTTCCCACCAGCCCAAGGGGATTACCCTCCCTGACAGGACATAGGAGTACCGGGATAAGAGCGATCATATGCCTACAATTGGCAAAGACCTTGGGAGTGGGCTGTGGGCAGCTGGAGCTAGCCCTAGCACCCGGAAGCTGCTTGAAGCTGAGCCACGGGGCTGGCAGGGCTGGCTGAAACCTGAAGCAACCTAAAGCACTTTTCAGCATCTTGCAGACCTGGACAGGTTGTACCTGGTAGGTGCGTGGCACTGCAGTACCAGGCAGCAGTGCTGGGGTACAGGCAGGCTAGCATAGGCTGCAGCCTGCCTAGGAGGATGGGGCCTGGAGTAGCTTCCAGGTCCATGGTGGTATGCCCCAGGGCTCAAAATGAGGCCTTTAAGGGCCTGAGGCAGGGGCTGTCATAGAACAAATTTGTTCCCAAGTCACATCTATATATACATTACTGTGCAGTAACTAATCACAAGTAAATTTGATGCCTGCATTTGCAGACATCAAATTTACTCATAATTAGGGGTTTTTACTGCATAGTAAGCATGCACACATTTAGATATTTGCACATACCACACAGTAAACTGTGCTACTGCACAGTTAACTGTCTCATGTAGACACACCCACTGAAGACCAGTAGTGTAACTTGGAGCAATCCAGCAGCCACTCTGTGTTGTGGCAGCGGGGGTTTGGTGGCGGGCCCCGAGTGGGCCCTGCCACTTTAAGGGCTAGATCAAGGAGTCATCAGGTGTTTGATTATGACAGTCATTTTAGAATTTTGGCCACCTACATAAAAAAGAACAGTTTGCTGCTGGAAGGGAGGCAAGAAACATTACTTGACTAAGCAGCTGCATGGGAACATCTTGCAGGTAGGAGCAGGAGGCCCTGGTCTTGGGCATGACCTAAAACTGCACCCTGCTGGGAGTGAGTGGTCTGGTGGGGCTCCCAGTGGCATGGGAATCCCAGGAAAATGCTAGGCCAGTTACTACCCCGGTGAAAGGTGGGTAGAGGTGCCTTAATCCCAGCCCTCACGCTCGAGTGGGTTATAGGATCCATCTAATCCAGGGAAGGCCAGGTAAGCTTCCTGAAGCACCTGAGCCTGATCAGGTGAATGACCCCACAGGGCCAGGCATGCTTTATGAAGCACCTGAGCCAGGAATGAGGGACCCCAATCCCTGAGTGCAGGCAGGAGGCTTAGACCTAACCTGAGGGACCCGACTCGTCAATGCTGGGGCCAGGACCCAGATAGGGGTCAAAAGGGCCAGGGGCCCACCACGAGGGATGCCCATATAGAGCAGAGAAGCTTGGGGTCCCGACTGGCCTGAGGCAGGGCCAGGGCTTAAAGGGAAGCTGAAGGTCCCAGGGAAGGGGCCACAGCTAATGGACGAAGGGGATGGTTGAGTTGGGTGCCTGAAATGGCATCTGCAAGGCTTAGGCTTTGGTGTAGGGGTGGAACGGATCCATGGATATCCCCCCAATATTGGGGTGTATAATGGGTAGCCTCCCACCTAATTATTACATCAATATTATTACATCAAGGCATGGCAGCTGAGAGAGGCGGGTGGCTGACCCATAGACAGGGGACAGGCTGGTGCTTGCACCACGCATGAAAGCTTACCCCTATCACAGGGGTTAAAGTGGACAATAAGTTGAATATGAGGCAACAGAATGCCCTTGTTGCCAAGTTGGCTAACTACATACTGGGCTACATTAGTAGAAGCATTGACAGAAGTTCAAGGGAAGTGATTATTCTCCTCTATTCAGCACTGCTGAGGCCACATCTGGAGTACTGTGTCCAGTTTTGGGCCCCCCACTACAGAAAAGATGTAGACAGACTGGATATAACCCAGCAGAGGGCAACAAAAATGGTTAGGGGCATGTTACTTATAAACAAAGACTGAGGGAACTAGGTTTATTTAATCTTCAGAAGAGAAGAATGAGAGGGGAATTGATAGCAGTCTTCAACTACCTGAAGTTTGATTGCAAAGAGGATGGAAATAGACTGTTCTTGGTGGTAGCAGATGACAGAACAAGGAGTAGTGTTGTCAAGTTGCAACAAGGGAAGCTTAAATTAGATATTAGGAAAGACTTTCTCATGAGGAGGGTAGTAAAGTACTGGAACAGGTCACCTAGAGAGGTGGTGGATTCTCCATCCTTGGAGGTTTTTAAGAACCAGCTAGACAAAGTCTTGCCTGAGATGATCTAGTTAGGGATGGTCCCTTCCAATCCTCATTTTCTACAATTCTATGAAAATCACAATACTTAAGTTTTGTTTGACTGCATCCATCCAAACAGTTCTGAGGGATTACTATCATTGAACTCTGTTAGTAATAAATATTTTAGTTGTGCCTCCTCTATAGTGAGAATTCATTTGACTATCAACACAGCTTTTATTTTTAATGTTCTCTACTATGAATTCATAATCTCTACATTTCTTTTTTCCTTCTTCCTCTTAAAGGAGCTGGTGGTTGGTCTCCTCTTGTGTCCAACAAATATCAATGGCTCCAGATTGATCTTGGGGAGAGAACTGAGATCACTGCTGTTGCTACTCAAGGTGGATATGGGAGTTCAGATTGGGTAACAAGCTACCTCCTGATGTTCAGTGATAGTGGAAGGAACTGGAAGCAGTACTGTCAAGAAGAAAGCATTTGGGTAAGTTTCTTTAATGATATATGCTTAGTTTCAATAGAGGAATTTAAGCACTTGCAACATATGTTGCTACAATCCTGTCATGCAGAGCATTGGAATTTAAATAATTACTTTGAAAGTGCTTTCTAAGTTAATAGTTAAAGATAAAAAGTAATTTTATTTTCTACAAGATAAAGTTTTAAAAATCATTTAATGTTAGTCCATTAGAAGCCCAGAGGGCCTGTTCCAAGGAATGAGATGATAATTCAAAATCTCTTTTGTGATGCCACATACAGTAAAGTGGATGTCATTCATTGTTATGTTTACTGTGTTCAATTGGTTAAAAAACAAAACAAATACAGTCTTTTACTTGTCTCATTTCTCTGGAGCTTTTAACCATGATGCTTTTTCTGAAAACAAATAGAAACCCTGATCTTTTAAAAAATGAACCAAGCACTGGGTAGAACAAAGCAGAGCTTTTATTTTAATTCCTTTCTAATCCAGAATGCAGTTCCAGATGCTTCAGCTTCTTTTCTCCACTAGTTACTGTTTAGCGATAAATCTTGTGAATGGCTCAACACCCTCCACTTCTACTTCATTCAGTGAAAGTGAAGAAATCTCATCATCTCACAGATATTTAATGTCTCAGGTCCATATTAATGCCTTAACTGTGAAATTCTAGACCATGGGGGGACTTTTCTTCATCCTCAATGGTATCACCTTATGGTCTGAAGCAGGAATATTGATAGTTATACTGTATTTTTAACTTTGCTACTGTGATTTCTGTCCTCTCTGATCTATGTTTGATTTTTTCTAAGCTTTTGTCTTCAGTAATTTCTTGATGTAATTAAACACTATGTCAAAATATATTCCACTTTATGCATTTTAATTTTGTTGACTTTTAATTTTAATTCTATTCTATTATTGTCAAGGCCCTATCTATGGTATAATGAGATTATGCAGTGGCATAACTTGTTGCCTAATTATCATTCTTTTTGAATTTGCCGCATACTTGTGCTTCAGAATGTATTTTCATAACAAAGAAAAATAAATTAGTTTCTAATCCATATACTGAGTAGAGGAGGAATCACCCCTTCAACTGTTAAATTAACATAAACTGCTACAATATTGTTTTCTTGGGTCTGAATGATTCTATAAACCTGAGAGGTAGGAACTGTTCATTCACTGCAGTAAGATGTTCATTCTGCAACATAATAGAGATACTTCTGCCATTGTAGAAACTTAGACAAAAAGATAGTGAGGAAGAGTTATTAAAGTTTACTGAAGTTGAAAAACAAGACATCTAATTTTCTTTCTTCACACTTCACATTAAAATTATTTTAATAACAACTTATGTTTTCTTGCTTTTAATATACCATACTGGAGGAGGGAGTGGATTTCAAGGGGGTAGTGATGTAGATCTCTGGATCAGCAGTCACAAACTTCAGGGGCACCTTTTGTTGACCTTTATTTTTTTTTAAATTTTGCTTCTTGTTGAGCTCCTTTACCTTTACATTGTTTTATTTGGAAAGGAGTTGTTCTCAACTTGGTATGAAGCTCTTAGATCTCTAATTAGTTGACAAGGTTGCTTTGGACCTTTTCTATTTTTAGTAACACTTTTTTCTCAGATACCGTGAACAACCTCAAATGCACTATTTAAGGTGAGGGCATGTAATTGAATTAGAATTTCTTTATAATATTTTCTGTTTTATTTCTGTACTTTTTTAACAGACCCCTCTAAAATATTTAGGGCTACCTGCCTAAGATTCTTTATCTTTTTTTTTTCTTCATTTGAGAAGATAGCTTCTGAGTTCATCAATGTGTACAAACTGTTTGCAGGGGTAACTTAGTTCAGTGTGTGTGTGTATTATATATATATAATTTTACAAACACACACATATCCCAACTAAATTTTGTGAAAATGTTCTTTTGCCAGGAATAGTAAATCCATTAATCTTACCAGAAGCATTTGACACGTCATTATTCTCTTCTTTTAAAGGTTATTATTACTAAACATCCTCAGTCACCTTACTAATGAATGCAGATTGTGGCTGTAAAGATACTGACCTCAGTGAGGTAGATGGAAGTTTACTACCTTAGTGATATGGCCACCAGAGTAACTGCGCCTCAGGCCTGAAAAATATGTCTTATAGATGCTTTGGAAGGGCATTTCCTTGTATCAGAGGAAAAAACAATACCCTTTGATATAGTGTAACTTTGTCTTCTATAGCAAAGAGCCCTCTTTGCAAGAGAAGTTGGTATGTGTCCACTTCCTCTCTGTCTCCAGCAATTTTGATTACTACTGATCAGGCATTAGGCCTGTAAAACTGAAATAGTTCTCACCACTACTGCTGGCATGGATTTGAATGGAAAGGCTCCTTTTGTCCCTCACCCACGCAGAGCTGCCCTTCAGTTTCTTTCTTTGCTATCAATTGATTACTTAAACATACTTTTGTTGCTAGTTTCTAACCCATAAAAAAGTTCATCTATCATTACACAGATACTAGTTGTTCCTTAAGAAAAGACTTTGGAAAGATGAAAGAAATTATGGTAACCTGTGTTTCTGTTGTATTTTATTAACTCTTTGAGGCATTTTAATAGATAACCAAGGGTGGTTTTCTATGTCATGCTCACAAGTGTCCTTTAAATCTATCTTTCATAACTTTTTCCACTGTTTTTTCTTGGTGCTGAAGTAACATTTACAAAACTATAATTCCTGAGATCATTCTTAACATCTTCTCAGAAATCTGGTACAATTCTAACCAACCTGCTAGTCTCAAATGAAGCAGCTGTTATAAATGCATATTCTTTCACAAAACCTGTTCCTTATAAATGGATTCAGTTAATGTTCGAAAGAGATTAACTCCACTCAAATTAATTTTAGATATTCTTTTATTTTACTTTTAAATTGTTAATACATTTGAGCAGTGAAAACTGTTTATCTTAACATGCCTTTCAACCCCCTTGTATTTTCCAAATTTTATAAGAAATCATCTCAGATATTCTGGGAGGCTTCACTTTTGTATTTTAGTTTTGCCACTAAAGTGAACCATGGTTATAAATGAGTGCTCATATATAATATCATCTGATCTGTACCCTGGAGAAGGTAGTAACCCTTCTTCGTTATTCTTTCAAACTTGCAGGAGATGTCAAGTAGAATGATAAAACAAAGGAGGTAGTTTTTGTTGGCTCTGAATTTAGGACCCAGATGCCTTGTTCCAGGGGGTGGAGTTGGCCATGACCTTTCCATTCAAAAATAGGCAAATTTATTGATACACAGTGATAACAGAAAACAAGCAATGCAAATAATCAAGCAGTTCTATATATCTACCAAATCCTAGGGCTGTCATCAGAGCCAAGGTACATCTGGAGGAGGAGGACCCTGGCAGGACAGGGAGGGATGGAGAGGGAAGTACACTTTGTTACTCTTAAGTCTCTGCTTTTGTATTCTCCTTCCCACCTGGGGAACCTAAAACTGGGAATCAGGTCCCCCTGCTCTGGGGCCTTGTTTGATGGTGCCACCTTATCTTATGCTATGGAACAGTATAGTATGTGCCCCTTTCTTTCCCGGGCTATGTGTCTGTGTTGGCCTTGTTGTATTATACAGTCTGTCTGCTTTGAATGCTCTGTGAAATTCTCTGTGTATGAGATCCAGGCTTTTTAGAAATCAGTTAACCCCTGCTGCCTATCCTGAACCATTCTAATGCACGCGCACGCTATAGATAGATAGATCCAGGGTGAATGTTGTTTTGTATCTTTTGTGTGTTTCTACTTCTGTTGGATCCATTGATACAAATACTAATATTCATATAAAAATATTTTAACTATCCTTAATTCAGTGACACTGATTATTTTCATTAGCATGCCACTTTATTCTCTCTTCAACAACATTAATTAGATATTCTTTTAAAAAGATAGAATAAAAAAATATTTTAAACAACAACTTTGCTTTATCCAATACTTTTTTTCTAATAAATGAAGAGAAGAGAAAAAGAAAATATAAATAAGAAAGAACTTGCATCAGGTGATAGGCTTAACAGGAACTTTCATGGCAGCTGTGGAGCAAGGATAGGGAAGGAGACAAACATCCCAGTAGTAGCAGAACAGGTTAGAGATTACTTAGAGAAGCCAGATGCTTTAAGGTTGGCAGAGCCACATGGGTACACCCTAGGTATTGAAGGAATTGGTTGAGGTTATTTTGGAGTCTGGCTATTCTTTTTGAGAACTCCTTGCAGGTTCAGCTTGGTCTGTGATGGCTAGAAAAGGGCAACTATAACACCCACATTTAAGGAGGGGAACAAGGAGGATCTAAGGAACTACAGGGCAGCGATCCTGACCTGAATATCTGGAAATATCATGGAGTATGTTTTCAAGGAATCTATAGAGAAGAACAAGGGGATCAGGAACAGCCAGCATATCATGCCTGATCAACCTAATTTCCTTTTATGATAAGGTGACGGATTCTGTGGATGAGGGGTGAGCAGTAGATGTAATTTGCCTTTACTTTAGCAAGGCATTCAACAATATCTCTCCCAATATCCTTACTAACAAGCTAAAGAAATACAGCTTAGATTAACTGAATAGGATACATACATGGTTGGATCATTGTGCTCAACAAATAATCCTCAATGGCTCAATGTATAGCTGGGAAGAAGTATTATATGGTATTCACCGGGGGCCTGTTCTGAGTCCAGTGTTATTTAATGCCTTCATTAATGATTTGGACGATGTAATCAAGTGCACACTTAGCAAACGTGCAGATGACACCAAGTTGAATCGAGCGGCCGATACTCTGGAGGAATCTCATTCTAAGATCTAGAATGACCTGAATAGACTGGGAAAAAATGGTGTACAACCAACCATATGAAATTCACCAAGGAGAAATGCAACTGTACTTGGGACAAACTAATTACATGCACAAACTGCAGTTCTAGAGAAGGACAGACCTGGAGTTACAGTAGACCATAAGCTGAATATGAGCCAACAGTGTGCTCTTGTGGCAACAATGTCAATGGTATAATGAA